CACCATGAGTCGGAGTCTACTCAACGGCAACTGGTTAGTTTGCAATTAGCCTTTTATCTAATCTATGTTACCTTGTCTTATATTTGTTCCAATATTTCTTACTGATTTCAAATCTATATTTTAGTGCAACTAAAATGTGTATTAGCAGAGCAAAGATATATTTAAAATAATGCCCTTTTCTACAAATTTGCAATTTTTTCTCATCCATGCACAGGGACGGGTTATCCAATAGGCAAGGTAAACACCAGATCATCTGTAGTGAATGAACAATTTCACATTTTTTCACCACATCAAAGATTCTGCTTCTAGGTATGGCTGGCATCTGTGTCTCTGCCAACCTCACAGCACCTCCCTACAGAATCAAAGCCTCTTTTCAAATTTACAATCCTTGACAGAGACTAATATCCAGCAAGCAAGGTAAGCATGTGCTCACTCCTAGTCTGTATTGAATAATTTTATATGGGTTTCACCGTGAAACCTTGCTTATTGGGTAATCCACCCCTGCCCTTATCACTGCTTTAGATAATGGATTAAGGTAATGTACTGTCACCTTTAGCCAAATACTGTGGTGCCAAACCTTAGCAGTGGCTAGATAATGTGATATTAAGTAGCCAATGGAGCATAATCTGTCTGACTCTATATTATAAATATTCATGTATTCATTACTTTCTTGATAATGATTCTGTGGAACTTTTATAGTGGTGGAATTATTGTGCTGTCTTGATAAATAGCTTCTTTCAAAACAGAATAAAAGTAGGTGAAAGCGACATCTGAAATATAGTAAGCCTGCTATATAATTGTTGTTAAGACTGACTATACATACAATTACCACTGAAACTATTAACATACATATATATACACACATATCCTAACACTGGCTGTCCTATATCTTGTTTCTAGTTTCAAAGCAGCAGACGCTTCTTTGCCTCATGATATTTAATATCTTCAGTGTCTGCTATAAGTAGTAATAGAAGTAAAGAACATTGGAAACAGATATATTAAAAATTAAACTATAACCTTCATCTCTGGCAAATCAACATAAGATAGTTATTAATAAAGATACTGTTGTTAGAGACAGAGCAATAATCTTCAACATAAAATGTTTCCATGTACCATCTATTTTTGTGTACATACATGTCCTCATTTTCGTAATTAAAAATCATTAGGAAAACTAAAATGTCCATGTTCTATTCACTACCATAATCTGATTGCCAAGTCATAAATGATTCAAGATAGTCAAATAAAAAAGAAATGCCTTTGCTAAACATTTCCCCTTCTACCATTATTCTTTCAAAATTCTAATACAGTTAATTCATTTTATGAGAAGTTTCAAAAGACTGCATACTGTATTTGCAAATTCAAAGCTGAGAATAAGATTACAAAAATATCTAGAAGATGAAAAGCTTCAAAGTACAAATATTACCTTTCAACAGATAATCAACAATGTCACAAAGAAGTTTGGAAATGACAATACAATTTCCCGAAAATACTATCTAACACATTGTAAAATGTGTGGGTACGGGGTGGGGGGAAGCTAGTAGACCATACCACTACGTTTATAAATAGTTTTAGATAAAATATTTAAATTCACTATTGTGAAGGACACAGACGATGTTTTACAAAACAAGTCCTCCACCTTTCAGATTCAAACTACAACTCATGAAATCACAGTTTTAAGTGTGGCTTCTTAACTCAATTTTCTGAAGCATAAAATCATAGTACTTAAGCTCAGTGCAACACTTGAAGTTCTAAAAGACACAAAACTGCACAGTATAGCTTCATTTTTGTAGGAGTTTGTTCCCCCAAAATCATATGTAATATCAAGACCAAAGAAATTAAGCTGTTTTGTAAGTAAAATCCACTATTCACAGACTGAGCACTGGAGCGCTTTCCTCTGATTCTTCTCCTTGGTTCCAGGTGCCATCATAAAACCCACTGCCATCGAGTCAATTTTTATTCATATTTAGTTCAATAATTTTTGAAGAAAAAGCCTGTTATTTCTTACTTCAAATATCCATTCTATCATCAAATCCTACTGCCTTCTGTTACCACTTCTACCAAATACGCAGTTTCCTTTTCACTCCTTTAGCCACATCCTTACTCTTGGCCCTAGATTTTTATCCTCTAAACTACTGTACCTCATTCTAATGAAATGCTTCTCCGATTGTATTTAATTCCAAAGTCATCTTCTTTCCTTGACATTTATCTATGCCACCTACCTATTCCACTGGAGCTTTTCAAGCCCTTTGCATTGCATTTTATTCTGTTCAAGAAACTCATCTTCACCTACATAATAATTTATAAGGTTGCCACTGACTTTCAAATTCCCTTAAAAATGCCAGTTTCTTCTTGCCTGTGGTAAATGTACTAAATTCTTCCTTCAGGTAAAGCTTCAAACCATCTAAATATGGAATTCCTTTTGCATTCATCCCCCAAATGCATGGGTAACTTGTTTCAACAATTTTAGCACAATAGTTACATACACTGCTTCTTCAATTGTTTGCATACCAGTGTTACCTCACTGGACTGTAGGGATACAAGAGAGGTGCTGTATCTTTCAAGGTACTCTGTGAAACACCTATTTATTATGTTACTTGACCAAGGTAAGATGATTCATTAAATAAAACTACTGTTGTTGTTATTAGGTGTTAATCGGTTCCAACTCAGAGAGAGTTTGTGTATAACAGAAGGAAACACTGCCCCGTCCTACATCAACCTCACAATCATTGCTATGTTTGAACCCATTGTTACAGGCACTGTGTCACTCCATCTCATTGAGGGTCCTCCTCTTTTTCGCTGACCCCAAGCACAATGTCATTCTCCAGGGACTGGTCCCTCCTGATAACAGGTCCAAAGCATGTAAGACAAAGCCATCCTTGCTTCTAAGGAGTATTCTGGCTGTACTTCTTCCAAGACAGATTTGTTTGTTCTTCTGGCAGTCCATGGTACATTCAGTATTCTTCACCAATACCATAATTCAAAGGCATCAATTCTTCTTCAGTCTTCCTTATTCACTGCCCAGCTTTCACATGCATAAGAGGCGACTGAAAACACGGCTTGGGTCGGGCACACCTTTGTCTTAAAAGTGACACCTTTGCTTTTTAACACTTTAAAGAGGTCTTTTGCAGCAGATTTGCCCAATACAACACGTAAGATGATTCACTAAGTAAAACTACTAGGGAAGCGTAAATAGACATTAAAAAAATCTCCACGGTTTAACTTTTAAACATCTATGGCCTTTCAATTCCATGCACAGCTGACATACTTTGGTTTCTATTAAACTTCAGTCTTACTATTCTATTAATTTTCAAAGCATGGCTAGAATTTAAAGTGCAAGCTGAAGGTTGATATACAGTATACACCTTTACATACCGTGATCAGATTCTTTAAAAAGCAGAAAAGTCAACTCTAAAAACTTAGAGGTAGAACTGAATCTAGGCGCAAGGCAGCAGTTTCAGCATTTAGAAGAGAACACTGCACCTTCCGATTCGGAGGGTTCCTGTCCCTGCAACTGGTTTACACTAGCTTCTCTATCCCAGGGACTTTCAAAAAGGAAAATTCAATAGATCACAGTTAACATCTGGAAAGAATACCAAGGAAAGGCAATCTGTTTACTTAAAAGAGAGGAAGGGGTGCCACAGATACCCCCCTTTTCGTGAAACTCAGCAGCTAAATTAAGCTTTGCACTCAGTATCTACCCTCAGTCTCGGAAGCTGTTCTACCTAATAATAAAATCAAGTCTCATTCAATTTAGTCCCTTCTCGAGCACCATGTCAACCTGTCAGAATTTGACAAGGAAAAAAAATTTAAAAAAAGAAGTCGGGGGGGGGAATAGAAGGGCTAGGATTCCCGTCTACATCTCTTTTTCCGAAATCACATCACTGAGTCTTGGATTTCCTCCACTCCAAACTAAACCCTCTGATTCCAAATATAATTCTTTAACCCCCGCCTCGCCACTCAGTTACACACACACCTCGCCAACTACAAAACCACAGCAGAAACCCCTACAAATCGGCTTCCTATTCATCTTGGAAGTCAAGCCCTGCAGCAACTGCCAATCGCTGAACTGAAGGATACTACCCAAATACAATGCAACGGAATCAGACATGCAGAGCACACACGGCTTCCGCGAGCGAGGGAAACGCGACCCGGGAAAAGTGAGCTTCTCACGAGCCTCGGGACCATCACCGTGGGGGGAGGGGAGGTTCCCAGAAGAGAGACGAACAAAGGAGCCCAAATGGGGGAATCCTTCCCTCTCAAATAAAATGGACTAGATCCCCTGCCGCAGGCTGCAGCCCGTCCATCCCCGCTAGGACACAGAGAGATGGACAGAGGGCCCTTTGCTCGGGAAGGCAGAATGCAGACACTTTCCGAGGTCCAGGCGCAAGCCCATCCTCCACCTCTCGGGGAAGGCGAAGGGTGTCCCATGGGCGGCTGAGGGGATGCCCGGCCTGCGAGGGGCAGCCTGAAGCGGAGCAGAGTTTCGCCTAAAGAACACCCGTGGTCAAGTCCAGCCGGTGCCTGAGACAAGCTCGGCCAGAGCTCCGCGGGGCCGCCGGGTAGAGGGAGGGGGAGGGCAACGAGGGGGTGGAGATGGGATTCCCCACCCCCCTTGGAAAAGCATGAGCGGAGGGATGCACCCAGGCAAGACGAGAGCGGCGTGCTTCACACAGCGGAGCCGGGATCCCGCCGCCAGCACCGGCAGCGCGCAGCCCCGCAGCGCCCGCCGCCCCGACCCCGTAGTCCCCGGGGACCAGGGACTTCGGCTGCGAAGGCGCTGAGGCCTGACATCCGATGGGCCTGCCCCAGCTCCGGGGGAACCCACGGGAACCCTCACCCCAACCTTCGGCAGCTTTCAGCAGTTGTAAAACGCACCCCCTGCGCCCCCTCCTTAGCTGCCCTCCTCCAGAGGGCCGCAGAGCTGGGCCACTACAGCGAGAAGGCTGAGGCAGGTGGGGGCACAGCGGCCGCAGCGGTCGTGGATCTCCTCCCCCGGTTACCTGTGAGGACTCCGACACGGATTTGATGGTCGTGGTTAGTGAGGATCATTCCCTCGGTCGCCATGTTTCCCAGCGCAGTCACCGCACCGACAGGAGCCGGGAGAAACCGGAGCCCGGAGCGCGCGGGCCGGGAGCGCGCTCGCCTCGGAGAGCGCGGGAGCGAGGGCGCCCGGGGAGCGCGTGGCGAGCGGGGAAGGAGTGGGAGGCGGCAGAGCGCTTGGCGGCCTGCTCCCGGGAGAGGCCCGGCCAGGAGTGCGCGAGTCCGCCGGGGGGGGGCGGAGTCAGGGAGCGCGACCCCGAGTCCGAGTCGGAGACAGCAAGCTGGGGGTGGGGGACGCGGCGACCGCACAGAGAGAGCGCGCAGAGGCGTCCGAGCGAGGCGCGAGAGACTAAAGCCGCTCTGCGGAGAGCGCGAGACCCAGAGCGGCTAAATGGCAGGAGACTGAGAGAAAAAGAGCACTGGCTCTGGAGGTTGAGGGGGCGGCCTCAGGGATAGGGGCGGAGCTACACTCAGAGGCGTGCAACTCGTGGACAGTTACGGGAGGGGTGAGAGCTTGCTGCGGAGTTCTGGGAGTGGGCTGGAGCGGCCCCAGCCAGTGATGGCCTGGGGAACGTAGGTGGGCGAGCGAGTAGCGCCGGATTGGCTGAGAGAACGCAGAGTGGGTGCGCGCGAGACACGAACGCAGCGTCGCCGAGCCCCAGACAGAAGCAATCACCTGCCGAGCGTAGCGCCTCGTCTGTAGTCAGCCGCCTGAGGCTGCCTCTCCAGGGCAGCCTAGCCATTCTACAGGTTGGGTAGTGGATGGCTCCGCACGCAGAGCCGCTTCACAGCTTTCGGGAGCGTTCGCCCGCCCCCCGAAGGCACCGAGGAACCTGGAGGTTGCTTCGAAAGCTGCGTGGGTGACAGAACAGCGGCTAATGTGACAGAGCTCGCTGTGGGCAAAGAAGGAGGTATCCTGTCCCGCCTAATCTTAACCTCCTGCTACCTCAATCAGCTCCCGTTGCCGGGGCATTTCTGCTTCTCCAGAGCTTTAGGATGCCATTTCCAAGTCAGTACCTACAGGTCGATCCTCACAAGCAAGCGAAGCTTAGGAGTTTGCGGCAGGGCATCCTGAATGGAGATATTTGGCATGTCTTACCCCATTGTCCCATGGTTTTGTGGCCTTAAATTTCACCGCCACGGTCTGTTTTTAGATGAAAAGCACTATCCACTTAGAGAAAGAGAAGGGCATGTTGCTCCCACCTGAACCACAGTCTCAAAACTGGAAATAGAATACAGGCCGTGGCAACTGAGTTTCATTTCAGTGTTTGTGGAATATTATTTTACCATCAAAATAGCTTTTGGTACCCTTTACTTTCAAGTGCCTTTCATATTAATCACCTGTAGCTATGTTATGTCGATTTGTTACTCTCTTCTTTCTGGTCCTTTCAACTTCTGATACGTGTGTGTGTATATATAGTTATATATATATTCTTCTATTCTGTGTCCTGGTGGCACAGTGCTTAAGCGTTCGGCTGCTAACTAAAAGGTCGGCGGTTTGAATCCGCCGGCCGCTCCTTGGAAACTATGGGGCAGTTTCTCTCTGACCTACACGGTCGCAATGAGTCGGAATGGACTCTACGGCAGAGGGTTGGTTGTTTTCTCACCCATGGTAAAACCTGGAAGCATAAAAATGAAAAGCAAAATGAAGTGTCAAAAAATGTATAATCATCGGTGTTTATACACAATTAAAATTTCAGAGCCAGTTTGATGGTTATGAGTTTTTTATTGTTCCAGTTGAAACATGGAATTACTCATCCTCTGAAGAGTCACACAGTTATGTATTTCATCTTAAATAATGGGAAGTACAGAAGAGAAAATGGATGGAATTGAGGTGGGATAAGATAAATCAGTGAAATACTTAATTTTGAGTGTGTGTATTGCTGGAATTTTTCACAGTGGATTAAAAATTGAAGCCATATCATGAACTCACTTCCTAGAATTGTCACTGTAAAGTCTGCTGGCCAAGGGATTTGTAACTAGTTTCAAATCGGAGATAGAGATGTGAAATTATGTCCAAGAGAATGATTTTATCTCAAGCTAAAAATGAAGACCAAATATTTGGTTACATTGTTACGTTTCTAAACTATGTTTATTCTCTACCGTTTGACATCAAGGAGACTTATGGCGACCCCATGTGTTGCAAAGTAGAACTGGTCTATAGGATTTTCTTGGCTGTACTCTTTATGGAAATAGATCATTAGGCCTTTCTTCCGTGGCGCCATTGGGTGGGTTCAAACCATTAGGTTAGTAGCCGAGTGCCTTTTATTCTCTACAGCACCCTCCAATATGAAATGATTAGAAAATGCCTTGAATTTTCAGATAAGTTCCAAACCTGCCCAATAACAGCTTCTGTGACCTTAAACAAGTTTAGGCCTTTTTCTTCATCCTTTGCCTAAAGTAGTAGGCTAAATAAGCATCTTTTCAACTAAGAATATTCTATAATTCTTCAGGGAAACAAATTGGCACCTTTGTTTCACAAATAATAGCAGAGGATGAGAGACTAACTTTCTAGATCTTTAAAAATGATCATGGTACTCTTATAACTCAATAACAAAAAAAATAAAGAACCCTTTTAAAAAGTGAGCAAAGAAATTTTAATAGACAGTTGTCCAAAGAAGATGTATAAATGGCCAATAAGCACATGAAAAGATGCTTAACCTCATTAGTCATTTTAAAAAAACCCATTGCTGTCAAATTGATTCTAAGTCAGAGTGCCCCAGTAGAACAGTAGAACTGCCCCATGAGTTTTCCAAAGCTGTAATCTTTGTGGGAGCAGACTGCCACATCTTTCTCCCGGGAAATGCCTGGTGGATTGAAAAAACTGACCTTTCTCAGCAGCTGAGCACTAAACCACTGCTTCACCAGGGCTCATTAGTCATTAAACCAAAAACCAAACCCACTGCCATCAAGTCGATTACAACTCTTAGCAACCCTGTAGGACAGAGTAGAACTGCCACATAGGGTTTCCAGGGACAGGCTAGTGGATTTGAACTGACAATCTTTTGGTTAGCAGCTGAGCTCTTAACCACTGCACCAATTAGTTGTTGTTGTTAGGTGCCATCAAGTCGGTTCCAACTCATAATGACCCTGTGTACAACAGAACGAAACACTGCCTGGTCCTGCACCATCCTTACAATCGTTATGCTTGAGCCCATTGTTGCAACCATTGTGTCAGTCCATCTCATTGAGGGTCGTCCTCTTTTTTGGTGACCCTCTACTTTACTAAGCATGATGTCCTTCTCCAGGGACTGATAACTCCTGATAACATGTCCAAAGTAGGTGAGATGTAGTCTCGCCATCCTTGCTTCTAAGGAGTATTCTAGCTGTGCTTCTTCCAAGACAGATTTGTTCATTTTTCATTTTTCTGGCAGTCCACGGTATATTCAATATTCTTCACCAACACCATAATTCAAAGGCATCAGTTCTTCTTTGGTCTTCCTTATTCATTGTCCAGCTTTTACATGCATATGAGGTGATTGAAAACACCATGGTTTGGGTCAGGCACACCTTAGTCTTCAAAGTGACATCTTTGCTTTTTAGTACTTTAAAGAGGTCTTTTGCAGCAGATTTGCCCAATGCAGTGCATTGTTTGATTTCTTGACTGCTGCTTCCATGGGTGTTGATGTAGATCCAAGTAAAATGAAATCTTTGACAACTTCCAATCCTTTCTCTGTTTATCATGATGTTGCCTATTGGTCCAGTTGTGAGAATTTTTGTTTTCTTTATGTTGAGGTGTAATCCATACTGAAGGCTGTAGTCTTTGCTTTTCATCAGTAAGTGCTTCAAGTCTTCTTCACTTTCAGCAAGCAAGGTTGTGTCATCTGCGTATCGCAGGTTAATGAGTCTTCCTCCAATCCTGATGCCATGTTCTTCATATAGTCAAGCTTCTCGAATTATTTGCTCAGCATACAGATTGAATAAGTATGGTGATAGGATACACCCTGACACGCACTTTTCCTGACTTTAAACCACATGATATCCCCTTGTTCTATTCTCTTGATCTATTAGTCATTAGGGAAATGAAAATCAAAACCACTGTGAGATACCTCCTTATACTACTAGGAGGGCTATTATTTAAAAAATAGACAATAACAAGTGCTGACAAGAATGTGGAGAAATTGGTAGACTCAACCATTGCTTGTGGGAATGTAAAATGTCAACTAGTGGGAATATAAAATGGTGCAGCAACTGTGGAAAATTTTTGTGGTTCCTCAAAATTTAAACATGGAATTACTGTATGGTCCAGCAATTCCACTCCTAGATATATACCAAAAAGACTTGAAAGCAGAGACTCAGACATTTGTACATCACAGACACTTTTAATGTTCATTGCAGCATTATTCATAATAGCCAAAAGATGGGCGGGGCCGAGATGGCAGAGTAGTCAGACGGCTTCCTATATCCCTCTTACAACAAAGACCTGGAAAAACAAGTGATTTGATTGTATATGAATATCTAGGAGCCCTGAACAAGGCAAAGTTGAGGAATCAGACTGAGTAACGGGGGGAGAGGGAGACGGTTCTGAAGAAGTGAGAAGTGCTGGACTGCGGCTGGAGCCGCAGCTCTTCAGCCTCGACTGGCTCCAAGGTACACAGTGAAGCAGGCAAACAGCTGTGCACGCGCTCGGGAGGCAGTTTCCACATCAAGAGAGATCCAGCAGCAGATATTCTGCTTGGACACTCGGAACCAGTGAAAAGCAGCTCCCAAGTGGCTAAAGATAAGTCCATGCGTGCAGCCTTTCGCGAGCTTTTAAAAAAAGGAAAGAAAAGCCCATTTGGGAAAAACCTCTCTCCCTTTTACCTCCTCCCTCCCCGCTCTGCACCGGGAGTCTGCTGGGCCAGAAGTAGATCCCGAAAGGCACCCTGACCCATTCTCCTGGCCTTGGAGAGGGAACGAATAACCTACTGGCTCCCCTAAGCCAGGAACTCAGGGTCGGCACAGCTCCTTTGCTAGGCACAGGCATAAGGGATCCACAGACTTTGAGTGCCTTACACCCCTGGATAGATTTGTGGGGACCCATCTCAACAACATTAGCCTTCACTACCCCAGTACAACAGGGTAAACATCT